ATGCCTGTGACAGACCAACAGGAGGGATGAGAGCGCTGGGCCAAAAAGACATCGCCCATTGGGGGGTGATTACTTGGAAACGCCACTAGCACGTGAGCTTCGGTTGGTTTCGTATCTATATCTCTTGGATTCCGTCGGTTATGGTTAGGTGTCCTTTGGTTGGATGATTTCCTTCGATTGGACTTCCGGACCGGGCCGGGGAAAAGCTGATTTTGATCCCAGACTGCCGGATACCGCGTGGTTGGTGGCTCGCTGACCCAGCAGATGGATGGGGTCCATGAAAGTGACGACCGCTTTGGCTGGTCAAAATCGGAGAGATTCGTTACGAACATCCCGCCTTTCGGGTGATTTTGAGGGTGTCACTTTCGTGGCCCGGACCGCGCCCAGACAGCCCAAGACGTGGCAAAGACAGAGCAGTGTATCGATCCGGGTGGTTGAACAGGGGGAAACCAAAGCCACTGGTAAAGGTTCTTGGAACCTTCCTAGTGTTTGGGTCCTTAAAAGTGTTTGGGTGGTTGGGCATAGCGACTCACAGCGAGGTGTTCCGCATCCGATCTTCTTGGTCTTCCCAGGTGATTCGGGCAAGTGAGTGGCAGGATGGTCCAAGTCAGGGACCTTCGCTCGCCTCTTGGGGCCGAGCTTTTTGCCTTCGATATCCATTGGTTGTATTCATTTTGCTGGAAACCTGGGTACCATCCATCACCTGCGTGGGAGTTCTCGCTTTTTGGCAGGGGTGCTTGTTTTTTGGGTGGGACACACAGCTTGAACCTTGACCAACATGCATTCCAGATGGATTTGACCTGACATCTTAGGTTTCCACGCTCAAAGTTCCAAAGTGGTGCTCGTCACTTTTTTGGAACAATTTGATGTGAGTCTCCCCTGGATGTGTCAGGATACAAGGGACATCCTGAGCAGAAAAAAAGAGCCACGATAACCCACCAGGAAGTCAGTCCGCAAGGACTTGCCAGGCCACTATAATCATGACTGCAATTCAAAGTAAAACGTTGCTTTCAACCCCATCAACCCCATCAAAACCAGGTGTCAAAGAAAGGAGCAGCACCCAAATTGATCACCAAATGACTGGTAACATCCCCCGCTCTTGGCGCAGGCCATGTACCTCCAAAAGAAGACGGACTCCTCCAAGGCCAAAGACTTCGCTGTGTCCGCGCAGCTGCGCCGCGAGGCACGCGCAATGATGTCGAATGGGAGGGCTGGAGAGCCGCCGAGTCGCCGACTCTTCATATGGACCCAGCAGGAGGAAGCATTGCCGCGCCAAAAATGGGCTTCTCACCCCATATTTCGAGATATAGTATTTTTTGGCTCTGTGTGTGTGTGCGAGTCACCATGTTCATTGGTAGAGAGGAATGGAAGTCAAAGGCAACCAAGATAGGGTCCCCTATTTAACACATAGTGTACTGACAGACTGCCTTGGAGAAATGTTTAGCCGCGTCGAATTGATTCCCGTTGGCTTCCTTTTGAAGGTTTGTACCCCAAGTTTGATCCCAAACAAAGCTGCCAAAGGACCTTGAGTGTCAACCTTGTGTGAACTTTGCTTCATTGAACCCGGAGTTTCTGACCCAGCGTTGTCCTATCAGAGGAAGCCAGTGTGTCACCAAAATCATCAGGTGATTTGGCAAGGTTGTCCTAAAGGGCCGCCACAGGAATCAACTTTTGAAGGGGAAATTCAGCGAGGTAGTGGCGAAAAGGGGTGGCACATCAAGTTATACATCCCGTTTGCCTTTGGGGCACAAAGGATTATACAACGACTAGTAGGTTGAACCCCTTTCGTACTTTGCGAGCATAATGGCTGGAGAGCGAGCTTGCATCAAGGTCATGTCAACTCGACATCCGTGGACAAGCTATGGTTCACCCCGACTCGGTCTGCCAAGGGTGACTGCATTTCCCTGATTTTGAGCATCACCTCTCGGCTGCCTGAAATCGGGTTGAACATATACCCCGGCTTTCCCGACCAAACTGCGCATATGTCAACAGGGATGCGGCCCGGAGTTTGTTGCCAGGGGGCAAAAGAGCTCAAACTCTAGCCACATGTTCCCCTTTGTATCGTCTTTTTTCAGATAATGTGTTAGTGCGGGTGCGGGTGGGCGGGCGGCTGGGCGGGTGCCTGTGTCGGTTTCGGTGTCGTCGGGCAAACCAAAAAGGAAGCCGGGCCCCAGAACCGGCCCTCTACAAAACGCAAACGTGACATGTCCAAGTAACCTTCTTGTGGTTTCCGTTTCAAAGGGGTCCGTTGGGGTTGGTTCGAGTTTGTGACCAATCCTGTACAGATGGCAGGCAGGCAAGAACCAGTTGGACTGGGGAAGTCCGAGATCCTCTTTCCCGTCCCTTTGCGTTATTTAAAGAACTAGCCCCTGGTGTTATACATGAAGGAAAACTGAAAGGAGGTTGTTTAAACGACAATGGTACAGACCTGTTTAAACACGGGGGTGGCCGGACCCTGGATCGTTGTTAAATGGGAAATAAGTGGACAACTCGGATGCTATCAGCGCATCGTGAACATGTCTGGTGTGGAAGCTTCCGGCCAGGCCAACGCTGGCATAGAGGTGGCAGAGAAACGCTTGGGCGAGATCGAGACTCGTCTAAATAGGCAGAACTGAGGCAAAAGACGTAGTAGCTCACGATTTTGCAATCAATGTTGTTGATTCTATTACAATATGCATAAGCATAAAGTATGTGCACATATACAATTAAGTCTGTGAAGCTGAGCCAAGCCCAAGCCGCAGAAGGCCGTGTTCAGTCCACAGAAGCTCACGGAAG